TACTCTACTCTACTCTACTCTACTCTACTCTACTCTACTCTACTCTATTCTATTCTACTCTACTCTATTCTATTCTACTCTTCCATTCCCTATTCTATTATTATTCCATATTCTGTTCTGTTCTGTTCTACTCTGCCCTACCCTACCATACTCTAGTCTATTCTTATTCCATGTTCTGTTCTGTTCTATTCTACTCTGTCCTACCCTCCTCAAATTCTATTCCATCTGTAAACATTATTATGTGCCAGTTATGAAACATTGGTAGAAATACTGAATTGAAAAGGTAATTGAAAATGGGCAGGTTAAAATATTGTAGGATTTACAAATACCAGTCAATAAAGTCTTGTGTCATAACATGCCAAATTTAACTATGATACTTCCCCACCCCACCCGTCAAGGGGCCCAAAGTAAATCTTTGTCTAAATCACGCATTTTTGTACGTCGAAGGTCACTTTTTTTTCTCCATGTTGGTAGAGATGGCTGTTGGGATATCTGCAGTACAGGAGGTCCTTAGTTTTTGTCCCGTAACATCTGGAACAGTCTGAAAATGATAGATAGTCATCTCTCTCTCTCTCTCTCTCTCTCTCTCTCTCTCTCTTTCTCCTTGCAGGGCACTCTATGACCGGCTAGCAGAAGTCGAGCAGGACTTGAGTTTTAAAAAAGATGATATTTTGTATGTCGATGACACTCTGCCCCAGGGGAACTTTGGCTGTTGGATGGCCTGGCAGCTGGATGAGAACGCTCAGAAGCTGGAAAGAGGACAGATCCCCAGCAAATACATGTAATTCCACCCTAGAGATTTCAATGGGATTTGGGGCATTGCACAAACAAAGCTACTTGAAAGAAGTAAACATAAATGCAAGCCTTCTACCCTTCATGACTGGGTTGGAAGAAGCCAACTCTAGAGAAAGAGGTGAAAACGAAAGAGGCAAGGAAAGTGCTAAAATGGGACAAAATTCACTTAACAGCTGTCTCACTTGGGAAAATAAAATGTTGGGCTCAGTTGTGCTCATTCGTCAAGGGCGACCCGTATTCAGAAGGATGTCTCTTACAAATTCTGTAGAGATTCTCACTCATCCAGGTCATGGTTGTCCCAAAGGTGCTTGTTTTTTCACGAGGCAACTGGACTTTCTTGGATTTTTCTTTGAAGACATTTCACTTTTCATCCAAGAAGCTTCTTCAGCTTTGACTGGATGGTGGGGAATGGAAGGATTTCTCTTCCCTGCAGACAGCTCGTCATTTGCATCCTTTAGAGGGTCATTGAGGCCTCTTGGAGGTTTGTCTGTCTCCCCAGGGTCACCTGAGTAGTTGCTCCTGGTTCTTATCATCTGCAAGGAGGAAATCCATTTCTACTCGCACACCATTCGAAGGGTGTTCATCCCAAAGTGCATGGCTAAAAGTCTATGATCCTAAGGACACAAATAAACCTCCAAGTGCTTTCAATGGCCCTCTAAAAGGATGGAAATGACCAGCTGTCTGCAAGGAGTATAAATCTTTCCATTTCCCACCAACCTGTTAGAGCTGAGGAAGCTTTTTGGATGAGAAGCGAAACGTCTCCAAAGAAAAACCAGAAAATCCGGTTGCCTCTTGAAAAAAAAAACACCTTTGGGACGTGCCTCTTACAACCGGCTCTGTTTTTTTTTTTCCTAGGATTTTTTTTTCGGTCCCAATCCTTTCACCTCTTCCTGCCTGACTCTCCCAACCCTTCCTTTCTAGAATGGAGCAGGAATTCTACAGGAGACACAGCATGTCCGAAGCCAAAGATGAGAACAGCTCCTCGAAGGCAACCTCGGCTGCGGCCCGCCGATCCTTCTTCCGAAGGAAACACAAACACAAGCGAAGCGGGTCCAAAGATGGGAAAGATTTGCTGGCCCTGGACACCATTAGCACGGACTCCATTCCTTTCTTGGACGGCAAGTGCCGATCGCATTCTCTTAATGACCGGGCAGAACCAACTGGGGGAATTTTCCTCCGCAAACTTTGTGCGTTGCAAATGCAGGAGGCGGCTGCGGAACGGATAAGGCAGAGCTACAGTTCTGGGGGGATGTGTGTGTTTGTTGTGTGTATGTGTGTGTGTGTGTCTTTTTAACATGTTGTCAGGGTTCCAGCTAATAGATCCGTTGCAAGCAAGAACTCTGAGGCAGGTGAATTCCTCAAAGAATCGCTTTATTGGGAACATCATATTGGCACAGATCTGGTGAAAACTGACACTGAAGAGCCCCTCAGTTTTCACCTAATTAGAAGTTTTTCCCCTCAATCCCAAACAATCAGCCACATGGCCCAATCAAGGTAGTGTCTGCTGGTCTGGTGACATCACTCCTCCTGTTCTGACCTAGGCTTCCCAAAATCACGAGGCAGACTCCTCATCTTGACAAAACCCCTTTTTTTATCAGTCTAATGTGATTTCCTCTCATTCACATCCGTCAAACAGTCTTTCAAGGGTGAATTGCAATCACAGACCTTATCAAGCTTGGAGAGCTGCCAGGCCGATAGCTTCCAAGTGCAATGCTGGAGTAGAGGAGTCAGAAACAAATCTTCAAGGAGTCAGAAACAAATCTTCACCCTAATTAAATGAACTAATTGTCTCCTTCAAACCCCACTCCCCTTTTGCTCCTCTTTATTCCCTATGGGAGGGGATATTCACTGTCCACCTGTGTCTTTATTCCCAAGTTGACCCTTGTTCCTTAGCTGTTCCCTTCTCCTGGCAGCTCTGCGCATGTGCACATTGGGAACAGGCTCCAGCTGTTCTTCTCCCCCATTGATCTCCGACTCTGATCTGATGACTGTTGGATGGCCCTGGTCCCATCTCTGCTTCTGATGCAGAGCCCTCGTCAGAGCTTTTCCCAAACTCCAGGACTGGCCTGTGTTCCACCCCAACCTCATCACTGTCCAATTCTGCTGCCAGTTCCACTGGTGGGCCAGAACACCTCCTTCAGCCAGATGTGAGAACGACCTTGGTTGCCAAGAAAAAGTGTTTTATTTTGACTACACAACCCCAACCATCTCTAATCCTTCCCTCCCTATCCCTCAGCTCCAGTGTGGCAACACTGAAGTTCCAACATAGCTTCGGCCAGGCCAGCTTCAGGGTTGACACATGTCCAGTTAGGGTCCATAACTAAATATCTCTCTTTTAAAAAGCCATAATTAAGACTCCCGCCCACTCCAGAGTGCATGGGTAAAAATTAAGCTAGGGTGGAGATGGGAGGGAGCTGCCCTACTACTTACCTTTGGACAGTTGTAGCCAGGCCTGGCACATCCTGACACCTGCCTTGCCAGCCCATTTCTTCTTCAGCCAGCAAGGCTGGCAAGGCTTTCCTGAAGGCCTCGGGAGCTGATAACAAAGCTCCGGATCGATCCAGAGCTCTGTTAATGGCTACAGAGGCCTCCAGGAAAGCCTTGCCGGTCACAGAAGAAGTTCCTGAAGGCCCCTGACAGCGAAAAGGAGGCTGGGGGCGATGCACGCAAGTGAGGTGAGTCAGTGGATGACATCCCCCGAAAATAAGACCTGGTGCCTTTTTTGGTGGCAATAAAATAAAATAAGACAGGGTCTTATTTTCAGGGAAACACGGTAGTAAAAGCTGCAAGAAGTTAATGCAGGGGTCCCCAAATTTGGCAACTTTAAGGCTTGTGGACTTCAACTCCCAGAATTCTCCAGACGGCTATATTGTTAAGTTTGGAGACCTCTGAGTTAATGGCTTGATGACGGACGCCGGCCTTCCTTTCGTCAGCTTTTAAATAAGAGATTTGTGTTGGCCATAAGCCCTTTATTCTAGTGACTTTCCGACAAGCGATCTTTCTTATCGCAGCTGGCCCTTTCATAACCCTTCAGTTCCTTCTGTATGCCCTGGTCTCTAAAAAAAAGGTTCAATTTGCCTCACCAAATTTGGTGTCTTAGAAATAACAGGATTCGTTTCACTTCCCCCAAAGCATTTGGCCTTTGTCTGATGGGTTGCTTTGAATCCCCGGCACTTGCAAAGGCCAAAAGAGACATTTCTTGCTCAAATTCTGTGTGGAGCTGGTCCTTGACTTACAATGGTTCACTTAATGACCGTTTGAAGTTACAGCGGCACTAAAAAAAAGGGACCGATGACCATTTTCACATTTTACGACCATCGTAGCATCCCCATGGTCATGTGATTTAAATTTGGATGCTTGACAACCCGACTCACATTTATGATGGTTTGGAGCATCCCCGAGTCACACGATCCCCTTTTGCAACATTCCGACAAGCCAAGTCAGTGGGGGAGATCAGATTCACTTAACAACTGCAGCGATTCACTTAACAACAGTGGCAAGAAAGCTTGCAAAGTGGGGCCGCAAACCACAGGGCCAAACCCACTTAGCCAATGTCTTGCTTAGCCACAAAAATCTTGGGCTCAATTGTGACCATACGTTGAGGACTACCTGGTATGGCATAGGCAGAAGGAGAATGGAGAGGGGAAATCAGGGGAAGTAAGGCGATACGGCTGCTTTGTTTTGTACTGAGGCTGCACGAAACCGGTGAAATGGTTTGAAAGGGATGCTTTACTCTCTCCTTCCTAACCAAGTAGAGCTGTAGTAAAAACATGACACCAAGTGCTTGTTGATTCAAAATAGGGCAGTAGCTTGAGTCTCCATGCCAGTCTTAAATCTTCTTAATGTTTTGCAACCAGGTGATTGATGTCGGACTTTCTAATCCCTGTATTTATAGCAATGCTGCCAGTAAGACGAATGTTAAGTCTTCACTCTTGGTGGTTCCAAAATGTTCTTCAGATCAGTAAACACATAAAAACACAACCTCTGGTCTGCTTATCTTGTGCACCTGGCATATCAGAAGGGTGTAAATCACATACTTTGAGAGAGAAGATCCTTCTTCCCACCCTGTTTTGCTAACAGCAACGATATCACGATTGCCTTCATGTACTACCCTGTTTCCCCAAAAATATGACCTCCCCTGAAAGTAAATCCTACCTTGATTTTTACGCATGAGCCCAATTTAAGTCCTACCCCCCAAAATAAGCCCTAATTAAGATTCCCGCCCACTCCAGAGTGCAAGGTGGGGATGTGGGGGTGGAGCTGCCCTACTACTTACCTTTGGACAGTTGTAGCCAGGCCTCGCACACCCCAACACCTGCCTTGCCGGTCCATTTCTTCTGCAGCCAGCAAGGCTGGCAAGGCTTTCTTGAAGGCCTCTGGAGCTGACAACAAAGCTACAGATCGATCCAGAACTCTGTTATTGGCTGCAGAAGCCCCCAGCAAAGCCTTGCCGACCACAGAAGTTCCTGAAGGCCTCAGAGCGAAAAGAAGGCCAGGGGGGATGCGCACAAGTGAGGTTAGTCAGTGGATGACACCCCCTGAAAATAAGACCTGGTGCCTTTTTTGGTGGCAAAATATATATATATGACACGGTTTTATTTCCGGGGAAACACGGCACTTCAAGTTTGTTTTCACGCTTCCTATTTGGGGGGGGTTTCAGTTCAGCTATTGAGTTTGAGTGGAGGTCGGGCAGCTCCTATTGATTGATTTGGGGTTGTTTATGGACATTCAGCTTGGCACTTTTCCCATCAGGCCAGGTTTTCAACCATATTTTCTAGTAAGCGCAGTTGAGTGCAACACAAGCAGGAGAAACATAGGGCAAAATGCAAACAGTGTCTTCTTTCATTGCAGATGCAGTAAGCCTGGCGTATCAACGAGTCCAAAAGGTAGATTGCACATCTCCTAGACCAGTGCTTATCCTTGGACCGTTACCGGATGCAGTGAAAGATATGTTGGTCAAAGAATCACCGGGGAAATTTTGCAGGTGTCCTCTTGGTAAGTCCATTGTATGGAAGGGTTTCCTAAGAAAGACAGTGTAGGAGAAGAGCAGGCAGAATGGGGGATGGAGTTAAATGTGTCATTAGCTTAGAATCCTTACATTGCCACAAACAATTCAAATTCAGATCCAATTGAATTCCATTGACCCTTATCTGATGGCAATTTAATGCTGCACTTTTAGTTGATTGGATTCTTGTGCATAGGCTTGAATAGATAGATAGATAGATAGATAGATAGATAGATAGATAGATAGATAGATAGATAGATAGATAGATAGGAAGATAGGCATTATAGAGCACTATGACCAGAACAACTAGACACAAGGACAGTTTTCCCCCGAATGCCATCACTCTGCTAAACAAATAATTCCCTCAACACTGTCAAACTATTTACTAAGTCTGCATTACCATTACTATTAATCCTCCCATCCTCCTTTTCACCCATCTCCTCCTACTTATGACTGTAACTTGTATCCTAATGATTTTTATTGACTGTTTCCTAGTATGATTTGATTGCTTATTGTACCCTGTGACTATTATTAAGTGTTGTACCTGATGATTCTTGACTCTGATGAATGTATCTTTTCTTTTATGTACACTGACAGCATATGCACCGAAACAAATTCCTTGTGTGTCCAATCACACCTGGCCAATAAAGAATTCTTTCTTTCTTTCTTTCTTTCTTTCTTTCTTTCTTTCTTTCTTTC